GGGTCCTCAGACCAAAAAGCTACTATACTTGATGATTTCCATAGTTACTGCTTGTGATTGTTTCAAATTACCCACTCCTAATTATTTTTGTTGTTGTTGAAATAAGAGCATAGTAAGGTTGAATTATCTCCACCAATCCCCAAGAGCCTTTCATGGATCTTCTACAAGTTTCTTACTAAAATGCTTTAATTTTTTAACATTTTTCATCTGATTATATTCCCTATACTCCCAGTACCCTTTATGAAATTTTGGGTTCCCAAGGATTTCTTTTTTTCTTTTTCTTTTTTCTCACTTACATAGTAGATAAGTAAAGAGGCAGGATAACACAGAGGAAAATCAATGGGCATGGATTGAGAAGCAAACTGATAAGTGCCTCTGGGGCTTAGCTTTTCCTTTCATATATTAGGAAATAAGGCTTGATAACAGTTTCAAATCTTAAATGAAATTCCAATATATGAAACAAATAAATAAATGGGATTTTAAAAATTAACTCTAAAATCATTTTAAGATTTATTTATTTATTTGAGAGAGAGAGAGCGCTGGGGAGAGGGGCAAAGGGAGAGGGAGAGAGAGAATCCTCAAGCAGACTCCCTGCTGAACATGGAGCCCAACACCGGGCTTGATCCCAGGACCCTGAGATCATGACCTGAGCTGAAACCAAGAGCCAGCTGCCCAACAGACTGAGCCACCTAGGCACCTTAACTCTAAAATCATCTTAAGTTCGAATTTATATTATTTACTTATCACAATGACAGTGAAAACAAAGTAATTTTGATTAACACAAATGTTTAGAACTTATTTCTGCGGATGGTTTTGATTGCTCTATTTGAAAAACAATTCACCCAAAGAAGTAGTTAATATACATTTTTAAACAAGAGTCTTGCAATCTGAGTAGTTTAAAGTAATTTTTATCCAGAGGTTTGCACAAAAACCACTTAACCTGACACTACTTTAAAGCACCAATGCACTACAATATGTTAATATGGTTTGTAACATTTATGAATGCATACATTTAATTAAATTTCAGTTTTAAAAAATTTAAAGACACTTAAAAAATATGAAACAATAATTTGCCAAATCTCTGAAGACCTCTCTGGAAGCTAGTTTTGTGAAAAATAATATGAAAACTCTGGCCCATAGCATGTGTAAGATTCTTTCCAGCTCTAACAAAGGCAGCAATATTGACAGAAAAACAATCTGTGGCATCACCTTACTACCATTTTTATATTGTCAGGATTGGATGAGAAGATAAGGCAGAAGCTCCATAATGAAGTGACTATAGAATGAGCTCTGAAATAAGACATGGAATGGACACTGAGCATGGCAACAACTACTACAGCCTTGGGCAAATTGCTTGACCTAAGTCTCATTTTTCTCATCCTTAAAATGAGAACGAACGGTACCTGTCTCTAAAACCACTGTAAAGATTAAATGAGGAAAATGCAAAAACGAAGTTTGGATGATCTTATGTGTATGGTTTAAAAAAAAAAAAAAGAAAGAAAGTTCAGACCTCTGGTATTTCTGAATCTGTGGAAGGTCTGTGTAACTCTGCCCCAGACACACTAATATGTAGCCCATCCAATTCAAAAGAGTTTTGGGGGGCACCTGGGTGGTTCAGTCGGTTGAGTGACCAACTCTTGGTTTCAGCTCAGGTCATGATCTCAGGGTCGTGAGACTGAGCCCCACATGGGGCTCTGCTCAGTGGGGAGTCCGCTTGAAGATTCTCTCCCTCTGCCCCTCCCCCACTTGTGCATGCACATGCACCCCTTCTCTCACTCAAATAAATAAATCTTTTTTAAAAAAGTTTTTGGTTCTAAGATTCTCATTCAAATCAAGACGCAAGCTAAATGGCAGACTAGGAAGATACAGGCGCTCATTTGTATGTAAGGATGATTCAATATATGAAAATCAATCAATATAATATACCCCATTAACAGAATAAAGGGAAAAAAAAACCCACATTATCCTCTTAATTGATGCAGAAAAAGCGTCTGACAAAATTCAACATCCTTTCATGATAAAACCACTTGGCAAACTAGAAAAAGAAGAAACTACTTCAACATAGTAAAAGCCACATATGAAAAGCCAACAGTGAACATCTTATTCAATGGTGAGAGATTGAAATTTTTTCTCTAAAATCAGTAACAAGACAAGGACGCCCACTTTCACTACTTCAATTCATCACAGAAGTCCTACCCAGGGTAACTAGGCAAGGTAAAAAAAAAGGCATTCAAATTGGAAAGAAAGTAAAATTATCTCTGTTGCATACAACATGACCTCACATGTAGAAAACCGTAAAATTCCACAAAAACACCTGTTTAGAATAAACAGCAAAGTAGCAGGATGCAAAATCAATGCACAAAAATCAGTAGCATGTCTATATATTAACAATGAACAATCTGAAAAGGAAATTAAGATGATAACAATTTCATTTACAATAGCATGAAAAAGAGTAAAATACTCAAGAATTAACCAAGGAAGCATGTATGCTGACAACTATAAAACATTCTGAAAGAAATTAAAGAAGATACAATTAAATGGAAAGACAGCCCACTTCATGGATTGGAAAATGTTAAAATGTTAATACTAACCAAAGCAATCTACAGATTCAAAGCAATCTGTATCAAAATCCCAAAGACATTTTTTTGCAGAAATAGAAAATTCATACTAAAATTCATATGGAATCTCAAGGGAACCCGAAAAAGAATAACAAAGTTACAGGTATCAAAGATAGACATTTACACCAGTGGAACAGAAGAGTCAGTCCAGAAATAAACCCTTGCATATATAGTCAAATGATTTTCTACAAGGATACCAAGACCATTCAATGGAGAAAGGTCAAGTCCTTTCAACAAATGGTACTGAGAAAACTGAAAATCCACTCTAAAAGAATGAAGTCAGACTCTTACAAGAAATACAAAAATTAACTCAAAATGCATCAAAGACCTAAATATAAGAGCTAAAGCTATAAAACTCTTAGAAGAAGACATGGGGAAAACCCTCATGATATTGGATTTAGCTATACTTTTTTGGCATGACACTAAAAGCATAGGCAAAAAAAGAAAAAGTAGATAAACTGGATTTGTGATGGTTGCACAACAAAAGCTACCTTCTGCTTTGCAACCATTCATGACTTACCCTAAATGGAGGTGATCTCCCTTTCCTTTAAATTTTTGCAGCTTTAATGAACTTCATGGCAATTACCACTTCAGTCAAGAGTTAATTACAGTTGACCCCTGAACAATATGGGTGTGAAGTGTGTGGATTCACTTATATGCAGATTTTTCTCAATAAATGCAGCACAGTACTGTCAATGTATTTTCCTTATGATTTTCTCAATAACGTTTTCTCTAGCTTACTTTATTGGAAGAATATATGTAACGTACAAAATATGTGTTAATTGCCTGGTTACATTATTGGTAAGGCTGCCAGTCAACAGTAGGATATTAGTAAAGGTTTTGGGGAGTCAAAGGTTATATGGAGATATGCAACTGCATTTGGGGGGAGGGTCAGCATCCTTAACCCCCATATCATTCAAGGGTCACCTGTATAAATATATTAACTTTTCATTTTCTTAGGTTATCCTTTCTAATCATACAATATCCCTAGCTATATATTAATTCATCAGCTCAATAATGGGAGTCTAAAAAAAGCACATGTATTTTAAAAATATATTAATTTAACCACTGTTACTACAATAAGCCTTTTAAAAATCTTATTTGCTGTTATTCTAAGTTTTGGTTTAAATCAATACCCAGCACTACATTAAATCTTGTTTTCTACATATCTGCTTTTTATATTCAATTCCTTTTTGTTACTCATTTTGGAAGTTAAATTTCAACCTGAAAACAACGCACACTGCTAAATCTCATCTTGTTTTAATTTGTACAATACCAGAAATCTAAATTGTGAAGGCATTTCTACTAATCTTTCTCTATGCTCATGATCCTCAACTTCAGCACATCAGCAAATTTGTCACATCGGCAAATTTGTGTACTGAATAACTCACCTTATTTTCATCTGGAAAAATAAGGAATCCTGTATCAGCATGATACTTGAGGTATTTACAGGTTTGAGTCCACTTCCCTCTAATTCCCTGCTCTCCTACACAATAGTTGGTCTGTTTTATTTTTAAATGAGTAGTGAGAAAGTTGCAGAAGCTTTTAGTCTCTGTCAAACTTTGTTTTGAATCCTGGCTTCACCTGGTTCAAATCTAGTAAACTATATACTCTTGATCAAGTTACTTAAAGTTCTGGTCCTCAGTTTCCTGATCTTTAAAATGGAAATATTACTTACAAGGATAAATGAAAAATTAGCTGCCATAAATAAAGCATGAAGACTGGATGCTAGAGTAACATTTCAATTTTCTCTATATTATTAAAGATCTTATCCACTATTTGTAAAGCTATTATCATTACCTACTGGAAGCAATTTTTAATTTTAGGCCAAGATCTATAAGAGTCATTGCTGACTTTGAAACTGCCAACGCTGCCTTTTATCAAGGAAAAAAAAATTGTATTGGTTTTACTGGCTAGAGTACATATTCTAGTAAGTTTTTTTTAATCAAGTACAGCTGACACACACTGTGACATTAGTTTCAGGCATACAATATAGTGATTGGGCAAGTTTATACGTTATGCATAGCTACCATCTGTCCCCATACAACACTATTTTATAATAATAGAATACCACTGACTGTATTTCCTGTGCTGTACCTTTCATTTCCATGACTTATACATTCCATAACTGGAAGCCTGTCTCCCACTCCCATCTAGTAAGAGCTTTAACATGAATAATAAATGAGATAAATAAATAATAAGAAAAGTAGAAAGTGATATGCCAACACTTGCCACCATTATTACTGCTAGATTACAATTGGCTATAACTATGCAATAATTTTACAGCCTTACGTAAGTAAATAGGACAAATATATTTGGAGACCAGAAAAAGAAGCTTAAAGAAAAGTCATATTTACTGTTCAAAGAAATTGATCAATTTACCTGAATCACTTGCTGCAACAACAACTGTTCCACCAGGAGCAAAAGGATCATTGTACTTCAATGTTTCTACCTAAACAAATTACACAAAATCATGACTAAGAGAGGAGATATTTCATAGCTGAAACCTCATGGCCACATCAAAGAAAATATTCTTTACAAACTCTTAATTAAGAAATACAAGGCATTAGGAATAAATGTTTCCCCTTACTGATTTGCAATCTTATTAAACTGAAATGACACATATCATTTTCTAATCTTTTATTGGGTAATATAATATCCATTCAAAATGGTATATGAAACATATATGGTTTAACAAGTAACTATCAAATGAATTCCTATGTAATCACCTTCCAAGAAACTGCCAACACCTGATAAGTCTTCACGTGCCCCTTTCCAAACACAATCCCATTCCTCCTCTATAGAGGTAATTATTACCCTGACTTTGGTGGCATTCATCTCTTTTCTTTTCTTCATAATTTTGTTACTAGTACAGATACACACTGTTTTAACTTTTTACATGGAAGTAATTTTAGATTAATAGAACAGTTGTAAAGATAATACAGAGAGTTCCCATATATCCTTCACCCAGTTTCCTCTAATGTTAGTACCTCATAACCTCATATAATCATGGTACATCTATTAAAACTAAGGAATTAACACTGGTACAAAACTATAAACTATAGACTTAATTTGGATTTCACTAGATTTTCCATTAAGGTCCTTCTCCTATTCCAGGATGACATGCTGCCTTTAGGATGCATACTATTCTAACTCTTAAATATCCTAGTACGTAAATATCAGACAACGCTAGATTTATTTTCTAGTTATCTAAAAATAATTCTAGCATTCTGCCCATCAGAGGAACATGCACATGTACCAGAGGAAGACGGGGGTAGGGGGGTGGGGAGAGGAAGAGCGGAGGAAAAGAAGGAGGAAAGAAGGGAGAGAGGAAGGGAGGGAGCTCTGCTAATAAGATCCTGCTACTTTCAATAATAAGCCATGTAAGAATCTGGACCAAGTGGCAAGGGTGAGTGGCTACAGAGTGAGGACTTTACCAGAAGCCAGAGATTCCTGCTATAGAACTGTTTTCCTAAATTATTTTGGTTTTTAATCATAGTCAAACAAATTATATATCTAGGAAGAAAGTGAACCTTCTCTTTCTGGCATCAGGCCCTTGTTAAGAGGCCAATGAAAGCCTTAGCAGACAGTTAGATGAAAGGGGCATGAAAAGGGTTTGGGAACATTTATCTCCTCTGACTCATGGCTATCAATGTCATCTGTATTACAGGCTCTATTTCTAATCATTAAGAAATTGATTATTACAACTGAATGTCAAATGATATCACAGAGCTCAACTGATACATTTCCAAATAAAACAAATGTATTTGAAAAGAGAAAAGTATTGCTAACCAGGACCTATAGTACATTCTCTCTTTATAAAAGAGAACCCAGGGACGCCTGGGTTCTCTTTTATAGCCTGGGTGGCTCAGTCGGTTAAGCGTTTGCCTTCAGCTCAGGTCATGATCCCAGGGTCCTGGGATCAAGCCCCCACGTTGGGCTCCCTGCTCAGCGGGGAGTCTGCTTCTCCCTCTGCCCCTACCCTGCCTCCTAGCTTGTGCTCTCTAGCTGTCTGAAATAAATAAATAAAATCTTTAAAAAAAAAAAAGCAAGAGAACCCATTTAAACTACTATCAGAAAGACGTAATTAATACTAATGAAGGTTTTAGAACTGAGGATGATAGTACTTATTTTAACTGATGCCAATGATATTATAAAACTAGCATAATGGCTTATATTCTTATTTTATCTGTTGAATGAATAAAGAGAAATCAAAGAAAAACATTAAGGTGGTCTGTATAGTCACATGGTTCCTAATATAACAGTCAAAACACCAGTGTGAGAGATAGTCACTGACTTAAGTCACCAACTATGATTGCTTCTTCTCTTGACTTTCAGGGAAAAAACAACCTAATAGGCCTGATTTTTAACAAAAGCTTACAGATTTTTATTTGCCATCACAGAAAGAAATAGAAAAGGCAGGCCTACATAAGTGTCAGGTTTAATTTCTATTCCTTCCTCATACACTGTGCCACCACCCAAAAGACCACTGAGACAGCAAGGGGAACAGGATGGAATGAATGCGTAGCCTATGAAGGATTAAGAGGCCATTAAACTCTATGTTACATTCAGCTTGATAATTAGGCAATTTAGTACATAAAAGTAATTTTCATAACTACAGTTCAGGTGGTATTTTATAGAATTAATGTTCCAAAATCCTCCTACAAGGTCGCCAAATTTATCACTGAAATTCTCTCTCTCCAACATCAGTCATCTACCCCCCACGTTGACTGTATGACTTAGTAGCTACACAATGCTACCATACACTAGCTAGGGGAGTAAGAAATGCCAGTTGTTTTGTTTCACTTTGGTTTTTTAAATTATGTCCCTCTGAGAGCAGAGACTAGCCTTGAGGGAATAGGAGACTTTTGGGGAGAGAGTCAGATCTAGAAACATAATCAGAGGCTTGTTTGAAAAGAAGGAAGATCACAAAACACAAGGGCTCTGTAGCTGGGAAGAATTAAGTTTAAATCTTGGACTATAGGGGTGAAGACCTTAGATTTTGGTCAGATAGACCAAGGTTTGAATTCAGTTCTACCACTTACTTACTATCACTTAACCTCTTTAAGCTTCATTTACTTTATCTTAAAAATGAGGATGGTAACATGAGCTTCATGGGAATAGTGTGAAGATTAAATGGGTAACACATGAAAAGAGCTTAGCACCATGCCTGGTACATGGAAGAGATGAGATAAACAAAGCTATTATTATATTGCCAATTTGGTTTTTTGTTTTGTTTTTAATGGAGAAATCAAGAGCAGTCAGCAAGGGCAATATTGCTTTCACAAACTGGGGAGGGAAGAGAAAAAGTAAATAGAGCAAATGGTGGAAAATTTTCATCAGGGGAGAAGAACAGGAGAAACCTGTTTTATTTTTAAATTAGGAAGAGCTGCTTTGGTTCTCTTGCTCTTTAATGATAAGAGTAGAGAATAAGAGCCTAGAATAAGGTAAGAGGAAAAAAATTCAGGTCGCAGCCAATTTTAGAAGAATTTGGCAAATGGGTCCACACTGCAAACTAAGTGTTGTAGGAAAACACAGTATCCAGTAGCGTGTGGAAACCACAAATATTCAGTTACAGAGGCACTTGCTCACTTTTACATCAATGGAAAATACCAGTTGTTAGCCAAATAGCTCTTCAGTGAGTAGAGTAAAAAAGCAATTAAAGAATACAAAATCTATTAACTTTAAAAGAATCAATTCCTCTCTTAAGGGAGTATTCTTAATCTAAGAGAATTAAAAGACAAAATTTTTGCTTCAAATGCCTGTCAAATCAATTGTTCTTTTTTGGGTGAAACACCCTGCTTAACAAAATAAGTCTCCAAATAAAAAATAAAAACAAACAAATTCCAAAACCATTCATAATTACTGAAATTGGGTAATGGATACATGGAGGTTTCTTAAAATATTTCATTATATTACTCTATTTTGGGTATGTTTAAAAAGCCATAATATATTTTCTTTTTAAAGCCACTTAGCTGTATGACCTTGGTTACTTCCAATCCCAGTGTCCTTATTGTTAAAATAGGGCTACCAACACCTACTTTGCAGGTTGTGAAGATTACAAAAGAGAGTCTGACATTTAGTAGGAATTTGTATTTCTCCACAAGATTAACATGTGTTATATAGTATATATAAAATGTGTCTATAAAATAAATGATTTTATCTTTCTAAAACATCAATGCTATTTTAAGGTTGATTTTTATTATTTCAATAACGCATACCACACATTTCTGAAAAGCTTTATTTAAGACTGGTTAATGGATTTCAAATCATTTATTTTAAATATCCCCAATGGGATAATATTTGATCCTTATTAAGGATGGACTTGATTTTTAGATGAAATAAGTTATTCCAGCCAATTACAGGGAGTGATAAAGCCGTGAAATGCCAGTCTGAACCAAAAACTAGATGGACTGGATGAGACTGACATTTTTACATAGCTCATCAGAAGTAATCTAAAAGAGGATCCTTTCAACACTGTATATTTCAAGACACTTACTTAAGATGCTTGTTCTCCATTTAACAGTTTTTAACCCTCCCACTTACCGATGTATTACTGCTATTGCTGGCTGCACTGAAAGGGTCAGTACTTGAAGTGGCAAAAGGGTCAGCAGAAGACTGCTTGAAGAAACAGTCAGATGCAAATGGATCTGAACCTTTGAAAGGATCACCTCCAAACGGATCTAAGAAAATACAGCACATATATGAAAGACTAAAAACTACTAAATTTCCTATCACCTGAAGGTATAACTGCCTTAATTAAAAGACATTTTGAACTTCTGCAGAATCTAAATTAAGGTACTTGGCATTATGATTATTGATTATAAAAAAATATAATAGACAGTTGCACCTAAAATAGCTTTAATTAATACTTTTTCCTACTTGCTCATCATTCACCCAAAGCGAATCAATCATTCCAATACTTATTACACAAAGATTACTTGTATGCCAGATTTAAATAATTCTTCTAAGCTGGTGATTCTAATTTTAGGGGAGGAGGAATCACAAATTCCTTTGTGGGGGCGCCTGGGTGGCTCAGTTGGTTAAGCGACTGCCTTCGGCTCAGGTCATGATCCTGGAGTCCTGGGATCGAGTCCCACATCGGGCTTCCTGCTCAGCGGGGAGTCTGCTTCTCCCTCTGACCCTCTTCCCTCTCATGCTTTCTATCTCTCATTCTCTCTCTCTCTCAAATAAATAAATAAAATCTTTAAAAAAAATAAAAATAAATAAAAAAACAAATTCCTTTGTGATTTTGAAGTTAAAAAAGATAGTCTTTCACCTAATAAACTTACTTGGAACAGGTTTGGGAAGCATAACAAATGGTACACAAAATTTATTCTAATGTAAAATCCCAGGGAAAGACTATCTTATAAAGCCTGACATTTAGTAATTCTTTAAGATGTTTCCTTTCCCCCAAGTCATATGCTGTAATCTTAGGAAAACAAAATGTTCTAAACACTATAGTAGGATAGATCACTATATGCATCTAATCCTTGGCTACCAAGGAGAATCAGTCTAAGTATTATTAAAAGTATCAAAACATAAACACTAATGTCATTTTTCTTAAAAATAAAGCTAACGGGCGCCTGGGTGGCTCAGTTGGGCGACTGCCTTCAGCTCAGGTCATGATCCTGGAGTCCCAGGATCAAGTCCCCACATCGGGCTCCCCACTCAGTGGGGAGTCTGCTTCTCCCTCTGACCCTCCCCCCTCTCAGGCTCTCTCTCTCTCATTCTCTCTCAAATAAATGGATAAAATCTTAAAATAAATAAATAAATAAAGCTAATGGTTCATTAAGCAAATTCACAAGAATCTACCACTTTCTCTCTGAAAATGCCAGGCACATACAACATTTTAGTGGGGCCTTACATCAGTTTAAAAACTGAATAAAAAGGAACGCCACTTCCTATAACTACCTTACTTTGATCTCTCATTTCTAAATACAACATAAGTTTATAATTAAGCAGAATTAAATTACAGCTAAGTTGGACCTCAGTAATATACGTACCAATTTTTCCAAAAGGATCATCCTTGAAAGGATCACCTGTGATAAAAAAAATAAGCAGAAATCACAATAATAATGTTTACTGTTGTGACATCATTACTTAAAGGTAACTTTAAACAGAAGCAAAGTTTCTTAAAGCACAGTCAGTTTCATTAGCTCTACCTCAAAGTAGACAAAACACCAAATGCCATGCAGCTTTAGGAAACATTTAAAATAATAAAGAGTAAAGGGAGAACATCAACATACCTCATAAAAGAAGCAATTTTTTCAATGACTGCTGTTTTTTTTTTAAAGATTTAATTTATTTATTTGAGAGAAAGAGAGCACAAGCAGGGGGAGGGGCACAGGGAGAAGCAGGCTTCCCACTGAGCAGGGAAGCCCAATGTGGGGCTCGATCCCAGCACCCTGGGATCATAACCTGAACGGATTATGGAAGGCAGATGCTTAACCAACTGAGCCACCCAGGTGCCCCCAAAGAAGCAAATTTTAATTGGAGCCAACTATACTTACCCCTTGATCACAAGCTGAGGTTACAAATAGAAGGGAAAAGACAGGTACAACAGCGATAATTTTACTAACAAGATTCTCTACTCTTCATAAGAATACTGGTGCTCGCTTCGGCAGCACATATACTTCATAAGAATACTGAATGGATATTACCATCACTACTCCAGAAACAAAGACACTGAGCCTAAAAAATTATTTTAATAAATAATTCTAGAACTAAAGAGTCCAGAAATAAACCCTTACATTTATGGTCATTTGATTTTTCACAAGATTGTCAAGACAATTCCATGGGGAAAACATAATCTTTTCAACAAATGGTGCTGGGACAACTGGATATCCACATACAAAAGAATAAAGCTGGACCCCTATCTCATACCATATTCCAAAATTAACTAAAAATGGATCAAAGATCGAAATGTAATAGCTAAAACTATAAAATTCTTAGAAGAAAACCTAAGAGTAAATCTTCATGACTTTGGGTCTTAGACATGACATCAAAAGCACAAGTGACGAAAGAAAAGATAAACTGGCCTTCATCAAAATTAAGACAACACAAAATACAAGAAAATATTTTGCAAATCATATATTTGATTAGAGACTTGTATTCAGAATATATGAAGAACTCTTACAAGTCAACAATAAAAAGACTAACAATAAAAAAAGGGCAAGTTATTTGAATCAACATTTCTCCACAGAAGTTATACAAATGGCCAATAAGCAAACAGAAAAATGCTCCACAGAAGATATTTGCAAATGACATATACAATAAGGGGTTAGTACCTAAAATATATAAAGAACTTATAAAACTCAATACCCAAAAAACAAATAATCCAATTAAAAAGTGGGCAGGGATTCCTGAATGGCTCAGTCAGTTAAGCATCTGACTTTGGCTCAGGTCATGATATCAGGGTCCTAGGATCAAGCCCCGCATTGGGCTCCAAGCTCAGCGGAGGGTCTGCTTGTCCCTCTGCTTGTCCCACTCGTACTGTCTCTCAAATAAATAAAATCTTAAAAAAAAAAGTGGGCAAAAGATATGAATAGACATTTTTCCGAAGAAGATATACAGATGGCCAAAAAACACACAAAAAGATGTTCAACATCACTCATCCTCAGGGAAATGCAAATCAAAACTACAATGAGATACCACTTCACACCTGTCAGAATGGCTAAAATTAACAACACAAGAAACAACAGGTGTTGGCAAGGATGCAGAGAAAGGAAACCCTCTTGCACTGTTGGTGGGAATGCAAACTGGTGCAGCCACTCTGGAAAACAGTATGGAGGTTCCTCAAAAAGTTAAAAATAGAATTACCCTAGGATCCAGCAACTGCACTACTAGGCATTTACCCAAGGAATACAAAAATACTAATCTGAAGGGATACATGCGCCCCTATGTTTACAGCAGCATTATCTACAACAGCCAAATTATAGAAAAACACCAAATATTCATCAACTGATGAATGGATACAGAAGAGGTGGGTTGTACGCATGTAATATATGTGTGTGTGTGTATATATATGTAGTGGAATATTACTCAGCCAGCAAAAAGAAGGAAATTTTCTCATTTGCAACAACATGGATGGAGCTAGAGAGTATTATGCTAAGGGAAATAAGTCAGAGAAAGACAAGTACCATATGATTTCACTCATATGTGGAATTTAAGAAACAAAACAAATGATCATGGGGGGAAAAAGAGAGAGGCAAACCAAGAAACAGACTCTTAACTATACAGAACACACTGATGGTAACGAGAGGGGAGGTGGGTTGGGGCGGGGGTGGGGGTGTGGGGAGTGTTCAATGAGTGATGGGTTTTAAGGAGAGCACTTGTTGTGATGAGCACCAGGTGTTGTATGTAAGTGATGAATCACTAAATTTTACACCTGAAACTAATATTATACTGTATGTTAACTAACTGGAATTTAAATAAAAACTTGGAGGAAAAAATAAAACTGTTGTAAACTGACCAGTTTCACAAATTGATTTGGAAATAAATAAAATGCAAAAAGAGCTTTGACACCAGTGGTATTTAATATAGTTTACACTGACATCAGGTATTTCAACTTATTACACTTATATTTCTTCAACAACACTATAGGCCCCTTAAGGGCAGGAATCCAGGTTCTAACTGCTATAGATTCCACTGTTTTAAAAGCATGGTGTTGGGCGCCCGGGTGGCTCAGTTGGTTAAGCCACTGCCTTCAGCTCAGGTCATGATCCCGGAGTCCTGGGATCGAGTCCCACATCAGGCTCCCAGCTCAGCAGGGAGCCTGCTTCTCCCTCTGACCCTTTCCCCTCTCATGCTGTTTCTCTTTCTCTCTCTCAAATAAATAAATAAAATTTAAAAAAAAATAAAAGCATGGTGTTGGCACTTAAGTAAAAAATTGCTGGTTGACTTAAGAGTACCTAATCTCCTCTGCTTGTCCATAATATCTTTCTTTTGGTCCTTATTCTGAAGAAGAAACATGCTCTTAATCAGGAGGGGCTCCTCAGACATAATCAGTCACTTAGTCCAAGGAGTTAGTTGCCTGACGAGGACAAATTCCAGCAAATATAAGCATATCACATCTCTACACCCCTCTACTTTGAATAGGATCTCAAAACTGAGCCCTAATTCTTATATAGTTACATTAAAAAGACTTTTTTTGGTAAATCATATAAAAATAAGAGTACTTACTGCCAACAAAAGGATCAGACTGGAAAAAATCCAAGTTTGTATCTGCAACTGGATCTGTCAGTGAACTTGATTCTACATTAAATGGATCTCCCTAAAAATAATTTTAAATTAAAAAGTATTCTTTTAGGAACCAGTTTTAAGATGTAACATTTTAAAATAAAATAACATGCTTTGAAAAATCAATGGATGGTAATATAACAAGTATTTCTGTAGTTATAAAGTTCACTTAATACATTTTTCTTTCCTTAGCATAAAACAGTGTTTAACCCATCTAGGAAAACCAGTAATGAGAATATTTACATATAAAATTATTTTTACCTCTTTTGAATGTCTGTCACTACTAAATTCAGGGCAAACTTTCTCATTAACAGCTGTTGTCGCCACTTCATTATCATCAGTCACACCAGAAGGCAGTATTTCAGGACTACTTCTTGCCTACAAAATATTAATGCTACATGGACTAACAACGTATTTTCTACTTGGCAGAGGAAACTGACAAAGGATAACCAAAAATTGCTAAAAATACAGAAGACAAGCAGAATGCATTCATTAAATGAGTTCTTCTCTTAAAATCTTTCTTAGGAAAATGGTATCATCAAGCATCAAAGTCACTCAGGCCAGAAAACTTAACCACTTAATAATTTCTCTCTGGTCATCTCCCAGCTAGCCTCCAAGTCTTGCTGAGTTCACCTCCTACCTCCTTCTCAAATCCATTCCCCTCTATCCTCACTGTCACTATCATCCATTTACAGTATCACCATTCTGATCTAGTGTAACCTTCCAACTGCCTTCTTGCCTCCAATATGTGCCCTTCCCACTGATCCTTCTTATAGTAGCTAAAGGAATAGATCTAAAATATGAATCTGATCATGATCCTTCTGGTTAAAGGTCCTTCGATGGCATTCCCTTGCTTTCTGGATTTAGACCAGTAGGTAATAGGGCTTAAGAAGTGGCAGGGGAAATCTCCATTTCATACCACCCTATGTCTTTGAAGGATAACCTTTTGCACTTAAAAAGAACATTGTATAATGTATCCAAGATTGCAACACCTAAATACAAATCAAGCCTGTTAATTTTATGTCTTTAGTATCTCTCAAACTTGTATTCTTCTCTTCATTATCCCTCCTATTACTGCTTAAGTTTAGGCTAAAACAATCTCACACAGACCACTCCAATAGTCTCTTAACAAATCTCTGTGTGTCCAGTCACACTCTCAAATCCATTTTCTACATTTTTCTAAAAGGTAAACGCAATTATGTCACATCTTGCTTAAAATTCTTCAATCGCTACTCACTGCAGTAAGATAAATCCCCCAATGCTTCAAAATGAATCCAAATTTCTTACTCTGTCCCTTTCTGACGTAAAAGTGGTCATTTTTATCCAGGTGCACATCATAATCACCCAAGGAATTTTTTGTAAAAATGTACCTGGTAACATCCCAGAAACTCTAGTTCAGCAAGTTTGTAGTGGGGTGCAGCCATCTATGTTTTAAGTAAGAGGTAATGCAGAGAGCCACTATAAGAGAGCTTCATCTCCTACCAGTACCCCCCACCATCACAAGGTATCCTTCGAGAACTTCTTGGGACCCTGTGCGGCATGTTTCTCCCATCCCATACCTATGCAAATGCCGTTTTCTCTGCCAGGAATATACCACCTTCTTCTTTGCTTAACATTTCTTACTTTGAAGCTCACTTATAAAGCTTTCTCTATACAATCTTGAGCCCCCCTCCAAGCTGTCCTACCTGAATATCACAGCCCTTTCACACAGTGTTACACCACTAGACTACATCCTGCTTAAAGGCAGGGTTACAGTTTTTTTGTCTCTGCGGCTCTCACATATAATAGCAGCACTGCTGTGTGCTCTCAACATTATGAAATAAAGAATTACTTTCAGCATTGGGTGGGAATACTTAAAAAAATGTTTTAAAAGTTACTATCTATAGAGCTATTGTTTTGAAAACACGCTTTATAACAAATAGATTGGTTAAAATTACATTTTTACACTAGTTAAAAGTGTTAGAACTGTTGGATCAGTACCTATTCTCTCCCTCTGGGGAAAAAAATCAACTGTCCTCAGATGAGGCAAGGTCCCATATTCATATTAAGTATGATGTCAACAAAAACTTTGACCTGAATCAAATTTTTTTCTTCTGAAGTTGATTATGAAGATTATAGAACTATTAGACTCACTGGAGACTCCTGGTGTATGGGCTCTGACTCCAGGTTGCCTTGACCTTCAGCATGCTCATTAAGGTTAGCTGTTTCACTGCTGCTGGTGCTGAGGCTGCAATAATCTGTAGCACCATTTACAAGAATGCTGTGTGGGCTACTGCACCAATTTAACTGATTATTACGGTTCTCCAGCTCTTTCATTTCCATCAGTTTCATCTGCATCTGTCAACACAAAGTAGAAATACGGAACAGAATTTATTACTAGAAGGACACAAAACATAAAAATAGCTACATCCTTAGACTCAGTCAAAAATAAATTTGCTTCCATTAAGGAGAATCCTCTGGGAATGCAGCATGACTTGGAGAGATTTCAGTAATCCAACCTAGCAAGTTCTCTTGACATTCCAGCATATATGGATTTGCTTTTGCACATCTTTTGAAAGCTCCAAGAATTTTGATTCAAATATCTACATTTTGGTGTCCTTTAGGTATAACTGGAAGAAGGATCAGGGTATTGGGAAAAAGATAGCAAAGTAACAGAACAAGAGAAGATTTTGTGATGAAGCTTTGGGAAACATAAACGAAGTTGAGGGAGAGCACACAAGGATTTGGAGCCATCCATACTTCTATTGGGAAGGAGAGGAGTGAAGACTAAGGTAAAATGAGCTACTGTCCTATGCTCTGGCATTATTTATTAATGGGCTAGAGCCCTAGGAAGTGGTCTCTAAATCTAAGCTATCCTAAACACGTTAAAGGACAAAGCATTTTGGATTCCAGTATCCAAGTGACTTTATATTCCCGGAACAATAGTGGGAAAGAGAGGCAGAATTTAATAAACTGTAATATATATTAAAAGAAAAACATTGGGACCAGAGGCAGGAAAAAAAGTGATGCTTATTGATACTAACATCTATAATAAAGAAAAATAAATTAATAAATATCTCAAAGAAATTGAAGAGAGGGCAAAATCAAAATGTTTCTAGTGAAAAGGAGTAATGAATGGAATTTTACTGAATAGTTCCCAGTTTTCATAAAATATATTTTTTACGTTACATTGGAATTCCCTTTATTTATTAGCATGCTGTTTTTTGTTTTTAGCAAACATAAAAATTTCCTACTGACATTTCACAAATCAAGGCTCAGTTCCCCTAATCTTATTTTCTGCATAAGGTTTTTAAGTTGCTCATTTTGGAATCTGTAATTTACCACAGATCTTTTCAGGCTCATAACCTGGGAAAAGAACACTATATTGAACTGGGAAAACAGATGTCAGTCAAGCTCTGTCACCTTCTAGTTAAGTGATCTTAGTCGAAGTAACCTCTCCAAGCCTTCATTTCTTAATCCATAAAGTGAGTAAGAACTATCTCCACAGATGATTAAGTGAAGCAAAGATATATTTGAAAGAACTCTGTAAAATGTAAAGGTCTGTGTAAATAATGGACAATGTGTATAAAAGTGCCTAGCGCACTACATTTCTCACTATTATACCAATTAAGTTTCCCTGTTTCTTTTCCACTAACTCATGCCATTTTTAAAAAGTTAAAGACCTTGAGCTCTTTGAGGGTAGGGACCACAACTTTTGCTATCAACTTTGTACCTCCAAAATCTACCACAATGATGTATATACTGTAAGTGCCTAATTTATGTTCACTGAATGGACATAAGTATTGTGCTTATAAATTTAAACCGTGGGTATCAGTAAGCATATGCATCTATCAAATTGCATTGTATTCAGAATTTAAACTGACAATCCAAAATATTAGACATCTGTAATACACAGCATATGCCTTGTATATTCCTAGTGATACTGAGTTGTGGCTTATAAACGTTTTTTACCTTAATCTATAGAAAGAAATAGATTTTACATCCTAACCTAGTAAATATATGTATTTATTTGGATAGGTCTCTCTGTGTATATACATACATAAACACATATATGTAATACACATTCATCCATATGCATCATTTACACACACACACATATGCACATACAGTTGTGAAAGTTTCATGAAGTAGTATGTATCCTTATTCCATGTAATGCACCCTCATATTTCCTATTGTCTTATTTCCTTCTTATTTTATTTTTTGTATACAAAGTACGTCTTCATTTTTTCTAAACAAAAACAACTTGTACAGGTATACTTATGAATGCACAGACACACACAGAGAGGTGCATCTATATACAGACAGAATTTGAAAAAGATACCATGCTGCAAACATTGTTTTTATCCAGGAGGTAGAATTATCAGACTTTTCACTTTCTGTTTTAAAAATGCACATAGTGCGGGTGCCTGGGTGGCTCAGTCGTTGAACGTCTGCCTTCGGCTCAGGTCATGATCCCGGGGTCCTGGGATCGAGCCCCGCATCAGGCTCCCTGCTCAGCGGGAAGCCTGCTTCTCCCTCTCCCACTCCCCCTCCTTGTGTTCCCTCTCTCACTGTGTCTGTCAAATAAATAAATAAATAAAATCTTTAAAAAAAAGATGCGCATAGTGTAGTACTCCATTATTAACAACAGTTAATTTAATATTTTTATACATGAAAAACTTGCAATGTATATTAGGAAAACAAATGTGCATGTATGAAACGGTTTTATGTTATATGGAAAAAATAATTTTACGTTTTATGGATAAGGCAGTGTTTCTCACTGAGTCGGGCACAATCACCGACTATACAGGCCAGGGAGATGTTTTCTGTGGGGACCAGAAGCAGAGCTCTCCTCTTGTCCATCTGCTTCAGGGCTGCCCAGTATCTCCTATTTTCCCAGCCATGGTCCTTCTGACTTTTTTCTTGTCCCTGACTGGACCTATGAAGCTCACAAAATGATTTTAACACCTCAGGCCATATGCGTTTGAAGAGCAATAAGATGATGTTTATTCGCTTCTAGTTACCAGTATGTCAAGCCGGGTCAGCTCATAGAGTCCTAAGTAATGAACACTTTGGTGGTCAGCAGCACCAAAGATTCAAAAAAGCTCTGAACACTCCAGAACACTCCTGTCTTACTCCATCTTTTAAAAAATTTTTATCGTGACCATTAAAACAATTTCAATATCCACTAAACCTTTACAGTCTAAAATTTAAAACCTTAACATTAAAATAATAACCATCATATAGATGAAGCAGTACATAGAAATACTTGCCTCCCAAAGAGTACTATTTAAGACAGCTTATTTCTTATAGTTACTTCTGAGACAATAAAATCTTGAACAAAACTAGGCTTTCCTGTGTCTGGCCCTCTCACATACCTGTCACTTAGCCTGTTTCTTCCTTAGTCTCTACATAAACTTAGAGGACATAGAAAAAAAAAATCACACAACTAACACAAGCTCTTTGCAAACTGTGCAAGAGAAATGCAATGAACTATCAGATTGCCAGAAACATTTGGATAAAAACAGTATATATTGTGTAAGTAAGATACAGAGGTACAAAGGTTCTTTGCTTTTTCTTACCATAAATACAAGGTAAGAAGTATAAATGAAAATTTAGCAAGTCAGAAATTTTTCCTCAGTTATTCCTTTTTCCAGAAAAGCTATAGTTTAGCTTTAAAGAGTAATTAAAGTTTCAGGATAATTTACAATTTGGATTTTCATTTTTTTATAGGCCCATGGGAAAATATTGCCCTCTGTGGGAAAGACACACAAGTCACTACGTCCAATGTAAGAAAGTGGTATTTGTGTGTGTGTGTGGTTTGTTTGTTTGTTTTATTTATTTTCCTAAGTAAACTCTACACCCAACGTGGGGCTTGAACTTACAACCCCGAGATCAAGAGTCACATGCGCTGTCACATGCACTACCGACTGAGCCAGCCAGGTGCCCCCGTATGTTTGTTCTTAAGGTTTGGAGATCAGATGCAAGGATGTAATACAATTCCTTCCACAGATATAGATAATATAATTCATTCCACAGATTACAGATAGCAAATATTATCTGGCACACTTGGTAGTATAGTTTGCTGAGATTATTTTCCTTGCTCAGAAACAGTTTTATTTTCTCAATGATAATTTGTAATATCCAGAGTCCTTTCTACTTTTCTCATATATGTTCCTTCTGTTGAAAGAAGTTCCCTTTCAAAAAACTTAAAGAAAATAAAAAGACAAGCCAGAGACTGGGAGAAATTATTTGCAAATCAAATATCTGATAAAGAACTTATATCCAGAAGATATTTTTAAAAACTCTTGTAATTTAATAATAATTAGACAAACAATCCATTTTTTAAAAATGGGCAAAAGATTTATACAGACATTTCATCCAAGAGGATATACAAATGGCTAATAAGCACAGGAAAAGATATTCAACATCACTAGTCTTTAGAAAAATACAAACTGAGGGTTGCTGGAGTGGAGGTGGGTGTGAGGGAGGGGGTGGCTGGGTGATGGACATTGGGGAGGGTAGGTACTATGGTGAGCACTTTAAATTGTGTAAGACTGATGAATCACAGACCTGTACCCCTGAAACAAATAATACATTATACGTTAATAAAAAAATTTTTAAAAAAAGGAAAAATACAAATTAGAAACTATGAGATACCACTTCATACCCACTAGAATGACTAAAATCAGTTAGGTAGACAATAAAGTGTTGGTAAGATTATGGAGAAACTGGAACCTTCATATATTGCTAGTGGGAATGTGAAATGGTATAGCGACTTTGGAAAACAGTTTGGTAATCTAAGTTAAAAAAAAAAAACCTTAAACATAACTTCACAATATAACCAACTATTCCATACCCAAGAAAAATGAAAACAATGCAAATGTTCATAGCAGCATTATTCATAATAGCCAACAAATAGAAAGAATCCAAATGCTCATTAATCAGTGAATGGATAAACAAAATACTTTATAAATATACAATGAAATATAATGTTGATACATGCTACAAAACAGGTGAGCTCAAAAACATTATGCTTGTGAAGGAAACCACATGAAAAAGACTACATAGTGTTTGATTTCATCTACATGAAGCGCTCAGAAAAGGCAAACCTATAGAAACAGAAAGCAAATTAGTACTTACCTAGGGGCAGAAGTGGAGAGTCACTACAAATGGGTGCAAGGGATCTTTTAGGAGTGACAGAAATGTTCTAAAACTGGATTGTGATGATTGAGCACTTCTAAGTTTACTGAAAATCACTGAATTGTACCCTTAAAACCTGTTAATTTTATGGTATGTAAATTATTCATAAAAAAATTTTAAATAAACTCAAAGAAGAAAATTATTTTAAAGAATATTCATTCATGGGCGCCTGGGTGGCTCAGTTGGTTAAGCGACTGCTTTCGGCTCAGGTCATGATCCTGGAGTCCCGGGATCGAGTCCCGCATCGGGCTCCCTGCTCGGCAGGGAGTCTGCTTCTCCCTCTGACCCTCTTCCCTCTCGTGCTCTCTATCTCTCATTCCCTCTCTCTCAAATAAATAAATAAAATCTTTTTAAAAATAAATAAATAAATAAATAAAAAAGAATATTCATTCAGCTGGTAGCATTCCCACTAGGACAGCCTTCTTTTGGGGTATGTTTATTGAGTACCTACAGCAGGATAAGCACTGTGCTAAATGATAAGAGAGAAAAAAAAATGTTTAAGTTCCTAGACCAAAAAGCTCAGTCAGCTGGGGGAGACAGACACATAAACAAATATGCAGGGGAAAATGTTACTATTGCTGTAACAGAAGTAGGGTCCAATACAGGCAGGGTTCAGAAAATGCTATAAAGAAATAAAAAGTTAAGCTATGTCTTGCAAGATGAGTGAGTAGGTATTCACCTGTCAGATAAGAGAGGAGAAGAAAGCATATCAAGGGGTAGGACTTCATTATACATAATAATTAACTGAGAACACTGGACTACCTGTTAGAAGATCTGGATTCTAGGCTGTGGCTCTTTTAAAGGCAATGTAACCATAGGTAAATTACTTAACCTTCTTTGGCTTCAGTTCGTTCAAATTCAAAATGAAAAGAATGAGCTACATGATCTCTCTCCTCCTTACTATCATTCTATAAAATATTACTCTCCATTTAGGGAAGCCTAGAATAACAAAGCAAAAGATCTATACTCTGGACCCACACAACACAGCATGTTTATCTATATAAAGAACAATTCCCTAATTAAAATAATAAGGGTCTCCAAATAAGCAAATGTTCATGGGGGGGCGGTATTTATAAAAATAAGCAACACTTAGAGAGCATTTATTGCTAAACTGTGTCACAGCGTTTAGTCCTTTACATTTAATCCCTACAGCAGACCTAAAAGGTAGAAGTACTCTTAATTCTCCAATTTTAAAGATGAGGAATCTGATACTAAGATGATTCAGGAAGTAAACGGCAGAGCCAGACTTACACCTAAACCCATACCCCTAGCTAGCCATGACTCCAGTGATAATAATCAGATGTACAAGATGTATGACAATTTTAACTTATGATAGGCAACAAGAAATGTACTTGTATAAAATGAACGAAAAATGAGGGAAAAGGAACACAAACTGAGAAAGTATTATTTACTAAGAGGATATGGTGAGGCCCAATTTGAGCATATTTCTCATTGCCACAAAGACTTACTGAACTGATTTCCTGTTGTGAATCTTGCAGGTGCTGCTGAAGAGGTCCCAGCTGAGCCTTCCCTGACTCCACACTCTCCTCCAATTCTGCCGTTTCTTGCTGTAGGCGACTCAGCTCTTCCCTAGCTTTGGCCAGCTCTTCCTCATAAGTAGAGATTTGCGATTCTTGACTAGTTAATTCAGCTTTCAGGGATGAGATCTGTAACATGGGAGTGAATGACAAGAAAGGGAGATTAAAAAAAAAGAATTGTCATTTAAAATGTTCCATAATGCAAATATGTTTATTTGTTCAGTTTACTATTTTGGTGGGTTTTTTTTTTTTGGAAGTATATATTTTTGATAGAGAAGGGCAATTAAGAGAGAAATATAGGGGACTTGAAGGCACAGGTACCACACTTTCAGCTAAAATTTGGAAAAGTAGTACTACAATTTCCGGATGAACAGGGCTCCAACTCCTTCATGTGCCCCAACTGTTGACTAGATTGCCACCTGACAACAACAGTAGCAACAACAAGAAGCAAAGAATGTTTCCAGGAAAAGCAACTAAGGTATAGATACAGGCAGCAGCGAATGGCCAAACTTTACCAGCTGGGCCTCCTCAGCGCATTTCTTTCTAACTTCCTTCAGTTGCTCCTCCAGCTGGGATTTCTGCTCATCTAATCCATCAAGGAGTTCCTGTACTTGCTGTTTCTGGGCCTGGAGTTTTTGCAGATTAGTATTCTCCCTTTGAACTTCATCTTGCAGATCCTGAAATACAAGAAAATTAACGTATTTATTCTCTTTGGAGAGAGGGAAATGTTAACAATTTTTAAAAGCCTATCTTAAGGGGTTTTTTTTTAAAGATTTTATTTATTTATTTGACAGAGAGACAGTGAGAGAGGGAACACACCAGAGAAGTGGGAGAGGGAGAAGCAGGCTTCCCGCTGAGCAGGGAGCGCGATGCGGGGCTCGATTCCCGGACTCTGGGATCATGACCTGAGCCGAAGGCAGACGCTTAACGACTGAGCCACCCAGGCGCCCCAAGGGAAAATAAAGTCTTATTAAATATATTGTGTTGGTAGATTGGAGGAATCCCAGCTTTAAATACTGTCTTTACTTCAGGATTTCTTCACTAGACTCCAGATTTTTTTTCAAGATTTTATTTATTTATTTAATTGACAGAGAGAGAGAGAGAGAGAGAGAGAGACAGCGTGAGAGGGAACACAAGCAGGGGGAGTGGGAGGGGGAGAAGCAGGCTTCTGGCCGAGCAGAGAGCCCGATGCAGGGCTCGATCCCAGGACTCTGGGATCATGACCTGAGCCGAAGGCAGTCGCTTAACCAACTGAGCCACCCAGGCCCCCCATAGACTCCAGATTTTAAAATCCAATTCGCTTAGGGGCGCCTGGGTGGCTCAGTTGGTTAAGCGACTGCCTTCGGCTCAGGTCATGATCCTGGAGTCTCGGGATCGAGTCCCACGTCAGGCTCCCTGCTCAGCAGGGAGTCTGCTTCTCTCTCTGACCCTCTTCCCTCTCGTGTTCTCTGTCTCTCATTCTCCCTCTCTCAAATAAAATAAATAAAATCTTTAAAAAATAAATAAATAAAATCCAATTTGCTTAAATCTGTCTTTGGATGTCTGAGGAGATTCTCGAACATGTCAAAAACAGAACTCCTGGCATTTACCCCCCAACCCAAATCTGCTTTATCTTCAATCCTCCCCCTCTCAGTTTCTCTGGCCAAAAAATCCAGCATGTTCTTTGACTCTTCTCTTTCTCTCACATCTCATCTTCAATCTGTCAGCAAATTTTATTGCTTCTTCCTTCAAAATATATTCAAAATCCGGCCACTTTTTCCCTCAACCTTGGTCCAAGTCAGTTCTCTCTCTCTTGGATTGCTGCCTTCTAACTGGTTTCCCTGCTTTGACCCAGGCTACCTACAGTTCATTTTCAGCCCAGTAGTCACTGTAAAAAACCTGTGTCAGATGAGTCACTCCTCTATTCAAAATTCTGCATTGACTCCCCATCTCCCTTACTGTAAATACCAAAGTCCTCACAATGGCCCTGAATCTCCCAACTTCATTTCCTACTGCGTTTCCCTTGCTCAGCCACTCTGGCCTCACTGCTGCTCCTCAAACATGCCAGACAGGCTCCTTTCTCAGGATCTTCCGTTAATTATCCCTTCTTCCTAGAAAGTTCTTCCTCCAGGTATCCATATGGCTCAAACCCTCATCACTTTCAAGTCTTTGCTCAACTATAACCTTCTCACAGTGAGGCTACAGTGCGGTACCATTACCACCACCTCCCTCCCCTAAGTCTCCTTCATATATAGCAGTAATTTTATTCATTTTCTAGAACAGCTTTACTGAGATAAACATACCATAAAACTCACCCATTTAAAGTGTACAATTTCAATGGTTTTTAGTGTCTTTACAGAGTTATGCAACCATCACAATTTTTTTAGAACATTTTCAATCACCTCAAAAAGAAACCCCATACCCACTAGCAAGTCACTCTATTTCCCTCCCAATCACCCCAGCCCTAGGCAACCACCAATCTACTTTCTTTTTTTTATTTATTTTTTTTTAAAGATTTTATTTATTTATTTGAGAGAGAGAGAATGAGAGATAGAGAGCACGAGAGGGAAGAGGGTCAGAGGGAGAAGCAGACTCCCCGCTGAGCAGGAAGCCCGATGTGGGACTCGATCCCGGGACTCCAGGATCATGACCTGAGCCGAAGGCAGTCGCTTAACCAACTGAGCCACCCAGGCGCCCACCAATCTACTTTCTATCTCGATAAGCTTTGTCTATTCCGGATAGTTAATACAGATGAAATCATACAACATCTGGCTTTTGTGACTGGCTTCTTTGTGACTTAGCATGTTTTCAAGGCTCATCTGTATTGGTATAACATTTAAACAGCTTTACTGAGATTTGATTTACATACCATAAAATTTGCCCATTGTAAGCATACAATTAGGTTTTAGCAAATATACAATTGTGCAGCCATCATCACAACCCAGTTTTACAACATTTCCATTATCTAAAAAGTTAATCCTCATTCCCATTTGAAGCCCCAGGCAACCAATGATCTGCCGTCACTCCAGTTTTTGCCTTTTGTAGAAATTTCACATAAATGGAAAATCATACAATATATAATCTATTATATCTGGCTTCTTACACCTCGTATAGTATTTTTGAGATTTGTCTCAGTTGTTGCATGTATAGGTAGTTTGTTCCTTTTTATTGCTGAGTAGTATTTCATTGTATGAATACACATTTGATGGACATTTAGATTGCTCCCAGTTTGGGGCTATTACAAATAATAGAGCATATAATTTATTTATTTTGTTCATGGTCTATTTCCTTCCACTACAATATAAGTTCCATGAGTCAGGAGATATTTGTGAGTTTTGTTCACTGCTATATTCAGTTTCCAGTATACCAGAGGTACTCCATAGGTATTTAGTAAATGATGAATGGTATCATAAAGATGTCAATTCTTTCCTAATTAATCTATACATTCCAATGAAAATCCTAACAAGGTTTTGCAAGGAGCCTGACAAGCTGGTTCTAAAACACATCTGGAAGAAAAAAGAAAAAGAAACAGCATAATAAAATGTAAAAGGACTTAACCTACTAGGTATTATGAATTACTGGAAAACTAAAATAATTAAGACAGTTTGATGTTGATACAAGGACAGACAAATAGATTAAAGGAACAGAAAAGAGAATTTAGACACAGATCTGGCATATACAGAAATAATGATGTGAAAACATGACATTAAAATTGACTGGAAGGAGGATCCTTTTGTAGTTCGTAAGCGTGATGACCGGGTGTTCACGCTCGTTGTGTGACATGTGCCTCCTCTCAAACCTTGTTACAACCTCGGCACATTACCTGTCTGGTGTGAACTTGGGAAAAAAAATTGACTGGAAGGAAAAAAGAATTAAATATTCAATAAATATCCTGGGCATACCATATGGTAAAAAATAAAATAAAATGAAGTCCCTAAATCACACCAAAGAGAAAAATAAATTCCAGGTATATTACAGACCTAAGTATGAAAATCAAAACTTTAAAATGTATGGAAGATAAAGTTTAAAAAAATGTATAGACGAAAATAGAGATCTCAGTGTAGGAAGGAATTTCCTAAAGATAAATCATTTTGAAAATGCTGTATTTATTTATGTACTATACTTTTTGCTTAATGATAAAGGCTACAGAAACTAAAAAATTACAATGGGAAATCTCTGTACCCTCTGCTTAATTTTACTATGAACCTAAAACTGCTCTAAAGAAAAAGTCTGTTTAAAAAAAAATACAAAAGAGACCTTGGGAGATAGATGAAAGCACTGCCATTATCATTACCACCATAAAACAGAGCAGCCAAGATGGCCTGATTTATGTGTCCTCTAACATTTGGGGTTCCTCACCTGGACCACAGAAGATCATTTGAGTGACTATTTTCCCAATTCTTTGAAGAATGGTACAATATTAGTACCACTGTAGATACACAGGGGAGAGATTAATTCACTGTTTATAAAAAGGGTTCCAAAGGGAATTAGGACTTAATTCTCTCCAGGAACCACAAGTAAGGAAGAAGGGATTGATAACTCTAAGGCATGTTTTGGCAGCAGGTGGGCAGAGATCTCAAAAAGGGTGAAATAAAATTGTGAACACAAATTTCTAAAAATAATATCTTTTAAATAACATACTATTCAAAGACCCCATCAATCACTCATCAGAATAAGAATCTAAGAACAACAAAAGAAAAACTTAGAAGAAGGTCTCTGAATTACTGCATGCAAAACAAGGACTTCTACAATAGCCCTTAAAATGTGCTAGGTATTGTCCTAGACTCTTTACATATATTAACTCATTTATAATCCATATGACAGATCTATGAAGTAGGTACTATTGTTATTCACACCTCACGGATGAGAAAACTGAGGCACAAAAGGACAAGTACTTATCCAAAGTTACAGTTAGCAGGTAATGGATTCAAACTAGGTTCTGATTCCAGAGTCTGAGTCCTTAATCACTAAGCTATACAGTGCTATAGACTAAATGTCTCACAAGTATGCTATTTTTCAATATATGTAGATGCTTCTGTGATTAGGTAAAACATTGAACAATGCTTTTAATAACTGATTTTCACTTATATTTTCTCAACCAACTGATTAATCTAAAAGTAAAATTACTATCATGCTGCTTTCTTTAAAAAGTTCCTTAAAAAGGCCCACACAATGGATGATCATGAAAGACTCTTCTTGTGTGGACATTCCATGAGTCTATGTGATTATAGATTCATAATGGTAAGCTCCACTAGTACTTTATCATTAGTTTGCCAGCATGCCTAAATTTTTTTCATGCCTAAATTTTTAACCTGCCTATACGGTTAACTGATCCATACTCAAAATGAAGATATAGTCTCAGATATGCACCTGGCATTGGCTCTCATTAAATACATACTAGTTTTCATTGTCCCTTCCTTGATTCATACTTTGTTTTTCTGTCTTCCTATTCCAAATGTCCAACTTTCTTAAAAAAAGAAAAAACTCATTGCAAAGTAGAGTTCTTTAGTCCCTCTGCAAAATATATAATGGCTCCCTCTTATCTGTAGGATAAAGTAAAACTGCCTACAAGATACATGAGAACCTTCAATTCTGGGCTCCATGTTATCCTTCCTCTTCTTCTACTACCCTCTTTTCCTTATATTTATGTGCCCCAGCCTCAATAAACCATCTTCTTTCTCCGAAAGACAATATACTT